GGTGGGCCAGCCGAGACCCGTGCCAGCATCCGCCTCGCGCGCTGGCAGGCCCGGACCCCCAGGCTATGCCGGTGCCGGCTGCAGTGCCGGCGGATGTGCCGGGCGGGTGGCCGCTGCCTGTGCGCCAACAGTTCAGAGGGGCGCAGGGCCCACGTCGAGCCGCAGGGCCACAGGCAGGTGGTCGGAGCGGGTGGCCAGCTGGGTGATGAAGGAGACCCCCGCCACCTCCTGCCAGGGGAGAGGAGGTGTCAGGGCAGGGGACGCGGTGGGGCACAGGCACCCCCAGCTCTGCCGCGCCGGCACTCACCGTCCGCAGTGGCAAGGCCCCGTGGTGCTGGCGGTAGAGGATGTAATCCACGCGCCGGCCCTGCCAGGGCCCAGGGGCTGCCGGGTCGGGCTGCCCGTTAGAGAGGATCGGGCCCGCCAGGTATTGCTGCCGCCCCGCCGTCTGCGAGAGGGTCCTGTGGAGCGGGGACGCGGTGGCACGGGGACGCAGTGGCACGGGGACGTGGTGGCACGGGGACGTGGTGGCATGGGGATACAGTGGCACGGGGACATGGTGGCATGGGGACATGGTGGCATGGACAAACGGTGACATGGGGACATGGTGGCATGGACAAACAGTGGCATGGGGACACGGTGGCATGGAGACATGGGGACGCGGTAGCACAGGGACATGGTGGCATGGGGATACAGTGGCACAGGGGACCCAGTGGCACGGGAATGCGGTGGCATGGGGACCCTGTGGCACGGGGACATGGTGACAAGGGGACACTGTGGCATAGGGACACAATGACATGGGGAGGTGGTGGCATGGGAACGCAGTGGCACAGGGGACCTAGTGGCATGGGGACATGGTGGCATGCGGACACGGTGGCATGGGGACCCAGTGGCAGGGGGACATGGCAGCATGGGGACACAGTGGCACGGGGATGCGGTGGCATGGGGATGTGGTGGCATGGGGACACAGTGGCAGAGGGGACCCAGTGGCACGTGGACATGGCGGCACGAGGACATGGCAGCATGAGGACATGGTGGCATGGGGACACAGTGGCACAAGAACATGGTGGCATGGGGATGAGGTGGCACAGGAATGTAGTGACATGGGGACATGGTGGCATGGGGGCACGGTGGCACAACAAAATGGTGGCATGGGGATGCGGTGGCACAGGGACGCAGTGACACGGGGACACGGTGGCACAGGGATGGAGGAACCCCGCCGCCGGCATCACCCCCACTCTGGGACAGGGCGCTTTGGCTGGGGCATCCCCCATCCCCCCCCCCAGGGCTGGGGGGGCCCCTTCCGCTGTCCCCCCCCTTCCCCCTGCCCCGTCCCCA